ATAACAAGACAAAATGTCATTTATTTGCAATAACATATATTCACATAAAGATGTACACCTTGCTCGACATGTTACAAGGTGAAATGAAATCATTAGTATTTCTCTGTTATTAACAGATTCCATTACTATTCTTAGAAAATTTATAGAAAATTCATAACATATCCAAATCAGAATCCGTAAATTCTGGGAGTTTGGAAAATGAGTCTAGTTTGTTTATAAAATTTCCCATGATTTTTAGTGACCTCCAACTTAGGTGAAAGTGTCCATAAATACAGACTGGTCCAGATTGGTTCTTGAAATGATAGGCAGTTTTGTAAAAATCACTATAAATTTTAGAAAAATCGTATGGAGATTTGCAAGTAGTCATTTTAAAGATAAAGACGTGAACTATTTGAACCTAGTACAGTTTTGAAAACTAAAATTTTTAAGTTTACCAAAACAATCCGTGAATGGAGTCCAAATTTTCTGATGAAAGCTGTTAGAATTATTTAGTGATGTTTATTCCCCCCCCCCCCCCCTTAAAACTTAAGAAAATACGAAAATGTAGGGGTATAAACTCACATTGAATGATTTTGGTGGATGGATGTTGGATAAGAGAAGTGTTCAACCCAAGAACACTTGAAGGATTACTTTGAAGATTTAAGAATCTAACACAATAATGATGGAGTTTGTGTAAGCAATCAATGATTTGAGTAAAATGAAGTGTAATCATCAAAAGGAGGATGAATTATACTTACCAAGAGTGTAAGAAAGCTTGATGATCAGCCTTGAATCTCGAATTTTTAGAGAGAGAAAGTGCGGGAAAGTTGTGTTTGATCTTTTGGTAAAATGCGAGAAATAAGTGAAGTGAGGAGTGTGGAGTGATGTTCCAGCTCTAATAATGTGGGAAAAAGGTTAGAAATGATGAAAAAGTACATTGACAAGACCTAGGCAAGGTGGGAGGAGTGTGGCTGGTCAAGGAGTGGGTGTGAGGGTTGCTTGTGTCATAAGCTAAAGGAAACTCAACACTCCACCTTTATTACTCCAACCACTAAATCTTGGATAAGATTTTGCATTAAAAAAGTGAATAATTAAGACATATGGGTCTTAATATGTTAAAATAAAGTTTCAGGTGAAAATCTCACTTTAAAATGATGAAAAACGGGCTTAAAATGCTAAAAATATTGAAAATCGGGCAAAAATGGCAAAAATTCGGAATTCTAGCCGAAGTCGCGAAGGTTCGGTTCTTAAGAAGTTTAGAACCGAAAGCGAAGTTCGGTTGGGCATGAGAACCGAAAGTAGAGAAGAGACCGAGAGGAGAGGAAGAAAAGAACCGAAGGTGCGAAGGCGGGGCTTGAAGAAGCGAGGTTCGGTTCGGCAGTTTCGGTCCTCAGTGGGTTCGGTCCTTCGGCGGGTCTCAGTCCGTCAGTGGGTTCGGTCCTTCGGCGGTTGGGAGGTTTCGGCTGTTGGGTTTCGGTTTCAGAGGTATCGGTTTCGGCTGCTGGGTTTCGGTTTTAGAGGTCTCGGTTTCGGTTGCTTCTTGGTTTCAGTTCTAGGGTTTCGGTTGCTAAGAGGTTTCGACCCTAAGAGGAGTTTCGGCTCCTTAAGGCTGTTTTACTTGTTTTTACCCCGTTTCAAGCCGTTTTTGACCCGGTTAAGGGTCGGGATGGCCCGAAAGACTATGAAAAGTTATGAGAACTTTTGAGAGAGATTTGGGAGAGATTTAAAATAGAGAGAGATAGAGTGAATACAATTGAGGGAGGTTTCGTTTGTGACCTTTTTGAGTGTCCGACGTCGCAATGCAAGGTCCCTAGACCCCATTAAGCCTTGTTGTAGTGTCCTACACACTCCCGATGAATGTCTAATAGTGTTTTATCGCTTTGGTTCAATGTTTAGCATTTTCACGGCTATGGAAATTCAAACATACGAATTTTCCAATTGATGTTTTCTCATTAAAATAATGGGTTGTTTAGTAAATACACAATGTAAACCCTAATATACAAGGGCTAATTGAGTCGTCTAGTTTGACTTGTTGACTTGGTTTGACTTTGACTTGACCCGAAATTGACTATTGTTACAGGCGATAATGGGAAGCCTTAGGTTTTATACTGAGAGTCAAAATTCAAATAAACCAGATTGTAAATGCTGATTTTAAAGGTCGGAAGGGCAAATTCGGAAGTTTACTTAGTAAATTTTTAGGCTAACAAGATGACACGTGGACAAAAAGAATTCTTTTATTATAATTGGGGATGTAATATTTTTTTGTAAAAACTTTTGAGACATAGAATTATCATTACAATTTTGTTATCTTTTATTTTTACATTACAAAAGAAAGTTTGAGTATACTAACGAGTCGTTTGTTTCGTTTGATTCCTAAGGAATTGAAAGGAATTGGAAACTAAAATCCAATACAAAACGTGTTTGGCGAACAGAAGGAATGAAATATGATTTCCATAATTACTTTTTAATTCCGTGTATGAAAGATTTCTCATTCATTCCCTTTCTATAAGGAATCCACATTCTGTTAGTTTTTTTTTTTTTTTTTTTTTTTGTTACACAATTATCCTCCTATGTATATGCGGTTCAAGTAAAAAAATAAACTATGTGATTTTTCATATCTTTTCTACGATTACATTCTTCTATCGATTATATTTTTCTCCAATCGGTATTTGTCAAAAAAAAAAAAATCATCTATCGATCATATCTTTTCTACAATTACTGCCGTATTTCATCTCTGATTCATCATTCTTCTACTGCTTTGGTGTATCTATCATCTTCGTTTACAGGTAAACATCTCATGTTCAATTTTTCTGCAATTAACTGTGTTCAACCATTTTTTTTTATATATTTGTAATATGTGATTCATCTTTGTTTGATAGAAAATAGCATAATTTTTTAACATTTGTGCTGCTTACTACATCTCTAGTTTCTTTGTGTGAAGTATGAACAATTTTCTTTACATGCTATGTACGTTTATTGTCGTCGTATTATAAAATTTATTTTCTAATTCCTTTGTAAAATCAGCAAACTAAACAGAAAACAGATTTCATTCCTTGTCCTCCAAACGCATTTTAGCTTCTAGTACATTCAGATTCTAATTTCTTCAAATTCCAATTCTTTTGACAGATTCCATTTCTTCAAAAAATATTCTGCGAAACAAACGCCACCTAAGGTGTTATAGGAAATAAAATGTGATATTAACTGGATGAGTTTATTGTTTGTGAAGTTGGGTTTTTTGACCGACCTAATTTTTCTAATTTTATAGAGATTTATATAACAAAAAAATGATAAATGTTAAAAATTTTGAATGACTTACTTTATATCACAATTTTACATACATACAATTTATATCTCAAAATTCAATGACATATCCAATTCCTTTAATATAAACCAATAAACAATGGCCCATTAGTAATTAAAAAAAAAACGTTAATTTGTATGGAGATTTAAAACGGTTGTGAATTAGTGATGAACATCCTCAACCAAACGATTTTCGTCCGCCTCCCCTGACGACACCACTGCCGTTAGTCATTGTCCAATTGCCCACCGTCGCCGCGACTCACACTCCAACATGTTTGTACAATTATGAATTCACAACTGTTCGCCTTTGGTATAATGATATTTGGTCTAAGATTTTCATAACTTTATTTAATTATGTTCAATAGTTCACTTAATCACTTTTAATGTTCATTATTATTTGTTTTCCAATCCTCAATTCATTAGGGTGGCGATTTCGTTTATTTGTTAGTGTATTTTACAAATGACAATTTTTATTTATTTATTTATTGTTGTCCTTCCAAATGACTAAATTCCAAAAACTTTATTATTTATTCACTGTTAATATATTTGACAATTAGACATTTGATTTTTCATCTTTTTGGTCTTTGTTTAATATTTTAATTACAATCACTTTCAAATTTCAAACCTTTGATTCACTCTTCGCACTTGTTGATGTGATAGAATCACCATGTATGAATTTTTGTCATATTAATTAACAATATGAAATTAGAATAGCATAGTTACGAAAAATGACATTTCCAATATCAAAACTATAAGTTTCTACAACATGCTTTCAGAGATAAACATCGAAGATTTAATAACTAGTTTACTGAAAATAAATATAATATAAAAAAGGATGTCGCATTATACTTATGTAAGAACTTTAAATCTTTTTTTGGTTATACGATCCGACCCATTATTAGTATTTTTATTAACCTTTTTAGTATATATTTTACTTAAATGTGAACAATTGAGTTTATCTTCTAAACTCACCCATGTATCACATTGGAATAAAAAAAAAATCTAGCTTGTTTAAAGAAAATGAAGTTGAAACTTTACGGTGTATACCATAGATTATGTGGATATGATTATTATATTATCTAGAAGCTAGATATGAATATATGATATAACTGACATGATAATTCTTTCGAACAAGAACATGTTATTATCGACTATAAAAGAAAGTTTGAGTATACGTACTAAATGGTGTTTGTTATCTAGTAATCCATGAGGAAATAAAATGTAATATTATGTTGGGATAAAAAAATCATGTTTGATCACAATAAGCAGGTCCGATCAAAGGTTTTTACTGCCCTAGGCAAAAAGACTTAATGATGCCCCATATTTAACAACTAATACATGCATGATATAATGATATGAATTAATTATAAATTTATTTAAAATGCGTATACTTGTCCAAAAAATCCATAACAAGGAGCAGCAACTAAAATGCCAATAAAAAGAAAGCTTAAAACATACTAACGCTTAATACTTAGAATCTTCACTTTATAGATAATAGTTCCATTTCAAAGTTGGTGTTCAACCATTTTAAAATCAAATCTACAAGAGCAAAATACACTGTCAATAAAAAAAAAATTAAAACATACTAAAGCAAAATACATAGAATCTTCAATTTAAAAATAATAATTCCATTTCAAAGATAGTGTTCAACCATTTTAAGCATTCCATTTCAAACGTAGAATCTTTAGTTTGATATCATTTGCATTTGTCTAATTTCACAAATGCTCCCGGTATCCAATTTAACAAAATCATAAACAAAAATTCTATTTCAAAGATATATCAAACAAAAAGATACTTCTAATATGCATTTATGAAATTATATAAATGCAAATGTTGTGTTTTTTTATTATATTCTGATCGAAAATCAAACATAATTCCATCTTAAAGTCACAAAAAGTCAATGTAGTTTACTAATCTTTTTAGCAAACTACTAGACTTAACATGTATAACATAATTTCACTTTAATGTTATTTTTTTATTATTTCAATTATCAACAAATTATTAAAATTATGAATCAGATTATCAAAAATATATAAGGAATATCAATAAATTAATTAGCACCACCACATCATTAAACTGAAGCAAAGTGAGATAGAGCAAAAGTGAATATCAATAAATTATTAGAATTGTGAATCAGTTTATCAAAAATCTATAAGGATATCAATAAATTAATCAGCACCACCACATCATTAAAGTGAGATACAAAGTGAAAGCCCAAATAAAAAAGTTGGATTAACACAAAAGGGCAGCTTTGTCTTTCCAACCAAAGGGCAAGCTTGCTCAAATTCTCATTGGGTAAATTTGACTTACAAGCAAAGGGCAAAAAATCCAACTGCAGGTTGAAGAACTTAGGAGGTTCGACCTTCAATTTTCATGAAAAAAAAGGAAAATTCTCCCCTTCTTTGGCTCTCGTCATAAAATTTAGAATGCAATTTAACATTTTTTTAGTAATCATTTATGCTAGAGCATTAAAACTCTAGAAAGATAGGCAAAAGTCTGAAAGAATAACGAGATTCGAGGACATAGCTTGACCGAAGTAAACTTATTTCTGATAACTGAAAACTGAAACACATATATCAGTCAGAAAATTAAGCAAAGAGACGACTTTCGGTGTTGTTTGCAAAAAAAAAAAAAAAAAGTGTAAAAAACAAACCTAATCCTTGACCCAGAGTTTGAAAGTCCAAAGAAAGAATCAGAATACCTCCCCTTTTTATGAAAGAAAGCATCAAAATACCTCTCCTCTTTATGAAAGAAATAACATGAAATTAGCATGCGTGTTTTTTGCTTGGAAGAAAATGTTCGACCCCTGACTCCTCGATATATAAAAGATAGATTCAGAAAACTTCAACAACTCCTCGATAGTTCTCCCAGTCGGTTAGTCTCCTTGTCTTCTTCAAAGAGGCATGAGTATTTTAGCTAGTCGAGGAATATTGTCGCTTCTTTCTAGTTTCACGTTTGGGATCGCATACCCTTCCTGTTGGACTATTTTTATGGATAATATTATGGGATGAGTGACATATACCTTTAAGAGTTGGAAAAAAATATGATGTCCTGTCCTATATTGCTGCCCTGGGCAGTGGCCCAGTTCGCCCGATCCTTGGGCCGGCCGTGACAATAAGCCAAGGAAATTAATCATACTTATGGAATGTATGTGATTCTTTCTCCAATATTTTCCTTTTATGTTTTTCCTATTTATTTTAAATAAAATAATATATTATAATTATAAGTTATTTTCACTAATACAAACTACAGTTATATATATATATATATATTTTTTAATCTAAAACTAACTAATAATATTTTTAGTATAGAATATTTTAAGATTTTATGGTTTTCAGTTTTCTTTTTCATTTTGTTAACGATATATATACTTATTTCACCAAATCGACCAATATACCCCTTAAGGCCTTTAACCTAAACCTTATACAGCGACACAAAACCTACGCCTCCTGCTTCTCTCAGCAAGCCCTCCACCGCCGTTAGCCAAACTCGTCCCCTGTGAGGCCACCTGCCGGAGACCGTCGCACCCAACAGCTAAGGTTCGTTTTTGTCCAATTTTTCCTTGCTGTCGAGCCCTCCCTGATGCCGATTTTTTTCCTAGCTTTCACTCTTCCTTCTTTTCCCTGGTTTCTGTTAGATTTCTTTGTTGGTTCTAGCAATTGATGCATCACAAACTCATAAAAGACCTGTAACATAGAAAGTTTTTCTGTTAGATTTCTTTGAATGTGAAATGCGAATGAAATACCGAGGAGTTACAAACTCCAATTTTTCTGTTATGTAACAGTTTGCCTGCATATGTGTTTGTGCTTCAATTTTCAATTGAAAAATTGAACCTAGATGTTATTCTTAAGATGCTTATATGAATATGATAACTGGAACAAATTGAAGGTGTATGTTGCTCTTAACTTATTCAATTCGTTCATGTTTTACCTTGTCACAGGTATATCATGTTGCGTATAAAAACCCCTAAATCTTTGAGAGCGAAGAGGGAGCTAGAGAAACGTGCTCCAAGACTCGTAATTCTCCAAACTTTTGTTTCTTATCTTTTACTAAAAGAATCAAATAGTTTGTTAATGAAATTTAACACCAAACTATGTATTTATGCAGGTGGAATTTGGCAAAAAGACACTCTTACTACATGGAACAAAAACAAGCAATGTCCTAAATGCTGTATTGACAGAAATCTATCATCTTAAAAAGGACAATGCTGTGAAATACAGCAGAAGAAACGATAACATCAGACCTTTTGAGAGTGGGGGTGAAACTTCACTTGAGTTCTACTCACTCAAAACTGATTGCAGCCTGTTTGTGGTAAGTTAAATAAAGGGTACAATTTAAAATCTTTTTTTTTTCAAACACTTCTTTTATCTTTTATTTTTCCACTTTACAGTATGGTTCACATTCAAAGAAGAGGCCTGATAATCTTGTGATAGGAAGAACATATGATCACCACATTTATGACCTTGTGGAACTTGGAGTTGAAAATTTCAAAAGTATGGCATCATTTTCATATGACAAAAGAATAGCCCCTTTAATCGGATCAAAACCCTTTTTTGCATTTATTGGAGAAGGATTTGAGAACAATGATGAGCTTAAGCATCTTAAGGAGGTTTTGCTTGACTTGTTCAGAGGAAAAGTATGTCTTGTGTTTTTTACTTATTTGCCCTTTCTTTTCTTTATACTACTATTACAAAACATGTATTTATTTTCATATATTATTGTAGGTTGTGAAGAATCTAAATCTTGCTGGATTAGATCGTGTGTATGTTTGTACAGCAGTTTCTCCTACTAAAGTGTTGTTTACACATTGTGCTTTGAGGCTAAAAAAGTCAGGGAATATTGTTCCTAAGATGGAATTGGTTGAAGTGGGCCCCTCAATGGATTTGGTAGTTAGAAGACACAGGCGACCTGATGAAAGTTTAAGGAAAGAGGCCATGAAAATTGCTCCTGAGCTAACAAAGAAGAAGGTTGGTTAAATTGTAACACTTGTGATGAAAACTGCAACAAATTTGTGTTTGAAAGTTTATGGTTTGATTTTGTTTTGTGATAATTTCAGGAGAAGAATGTGAGCAAAGATCCAATCGAGGGAAAAATTGGAAAGATTTATGTTCCAGATCAACAGGTTGGAAGTGCGTCTTTACCCTTTAAGCCAAAGGGGGTGAAAAGGGAGAGGAGGGAAGCTAAGGAGGCCAAAGTGGAAAAGAAGCAAAAAGAGTCTGAAGCAAAAGAAGGGAAAGAAAGCATTAAGCATTCAGAAAAGAAAAGAAAGAAGCAGAAAGATGATGATTTGGCTTGATAATGGTTTTAATTTAAGGGTTATGCTTTATATCAACAGTTTTGTGTTTTTTTTTTTTTTTTTTTTTTGGATGGGATGTTTTTTTCATTATATTTAGTCAAAGTTTTGTTGTTGATTATGCATTTATGCTATATCTTTTGGTTTTCACTAGATGAAATGATTTGTCAGTTTTGCTGTTTTGCTAATGGATGGTTAATTTCACTAGATGAAACACTAATTGCATTCAGTGCTTGACCTTATTCAGTCATCTCCCTCCACACCATATATCATGAGCCAAGGGTACTTTCGTCATTATTTTAAGTGGACAACATCTAACACCTTTTTTAACAGGCAGAAGTTATGGCTTCAGTGGAGGATCTGTTAAGTAGAGAAGGTGTTATTTTTGGACGAAGGGGTATGACATGATATCTAACATGACAATGTGTTGTCATTTCTTTTTCTATACACACCCTCCTCATATTTCTTTTTATTCTTTTTCATCTTTCAAACAGGCTTTCCATGTCTTCCTTTTTGATAATCTTGTTGATGTTGGTCATTTCATTGCGGTTTGTATTGCTCGTGAAGGTTATTTGTTTTCTTTGTGAATGCATATCTCAGTATTGTTAGATGGATGATGTCAATGTTGCTATGTGGTCTTCTGAATGTGTGGTAGCACATAGATGGTTTTCTTGTCTAATGCACAATCTGGTAGGCAAATTGCAAGAGGTAGACAAATAATATGTTACAAAGCGATACCAACGAATGGACCCAGATATTGCTCTCCGATGCCTAAGTCAGATGTCGATTAGGAACGTAGTAAAGTTGTTAGACATGAGAAAGTTTTCCCCTTTTCCTATGGTGATGCTTGAGGGTGCATTTGTCCATGGTTCTACCCTATTTCTTGCATGGTCCGGGTAGAGATAACTATATGGCATGTACATCGTTATACTTGTTTATTATAAAGATTTGTATATTTGCACTTTTCCTGGGATATGCTTAAAATATTTTGTAGGTTTTTACCCGTTGTGTGTTGTAGATTTGAACTATCATACATGTTCACGTGGGAAGTAGCTCGGTCTTAGTATATCGTGTGATCATACTATTGCGATATCACGTCATTCGAACATCCATGAATTAGCCAATATGATTCAGATATATGATTAGGCCGACGTGTTTTAGACTACCTACTAGACACAAACCATGCACCATCTTCTCCCTCCATCTGAATGAGAATAGGGATGTCAAAAAGTCCCGTGGGGGTCCCGTTTCGTTTGCGGGTATTTTCTGAAAAAAAACTGGGGACGGGAGCGGGGGCATGGTTAACCCTCATTTTAATTTCGTGGGCGGGGGCAGGGGTTGGCAGTCCCGTCCCGAAACCCCCATGGGGACCCCGTTAATAAATTATATATATTTATATATATTAATTATATAAATATAATAAACAACATAATTATTTTTACATACTAAAATTCAACCAAAACATGTTTTTAAGATGTTTGTGACATGTAAAATTATTCTATAAATAGTTATTTGTTACCTAAAAAATGGTTTCTTTTAGCCTAAACAAGAACTTCTTTTAGCCCTAATAAGGTAGCTCAAAATCAATTGGGGGCGGGGCAGGGGTAAGAAGGAGAATTTGGGGGTGGGAGCGGGGGTGAAAATGATGAAGATTTCAGGGGCGAGGGCTGGGGAATAGAAGAATTTTGGGGGCAGGGGCGGGGGATGCAATCACCGTCTCGTTTGCATCCCTAAATGGGAAATACTAGACCCTTTGATGGTTGTTTTATGCCTATGTAATTGCAATTAATTATGTGAATCCAGAATGATATTCCAAAAAACAAACAAACATTACATATTATATAAATTAACTAATAAGTGTTACATAAACTTAGTTGATATACATAAAACTTACATCTTGTATGCAACAATACCAAAATAGAAAATCCAACTGCAAATTAACGCTATCTTCAAGTGGAAATTTTTGGTTTCAAGCTTCTTCTTCGATCGAATTAAGTTACAAATTATCAATGAATTATTGTCTTTTGCTTCGTCAACCCAACAGATAAACCCAAATTGTGGTCCCTAAAAATTTAATATCAAACACGTGACATATATTATGTAAATTATTATTAATTCAAAGTAAAAGTAATGAAATGATAACCCTTATATCTTTTTAGGACAAACGTAAAATAGCAATCTAGGGTTATTGCTAGTCATTGATGTCCTTATAACTTTGAGCGCCACAATTGCATGTTTGATTTATGTGAAATGAATTTTTAGTAGTAAATTTAACAAGGTATCGAGTTTGGACACTTGAACTCAATTATATAATGGCATTTGTAGAGGGCACTACGGTCTCATAGGATGTACTATGTGTACTCATTTCGAACAGTAAACTTGTAATAGATTCCTAACACACGGAGTCAATGACACATATTCCAGACATGCATTCCGGAGCACATTCCGGAAGCATATTTCGGACCCTCATTCCGGACATTACATTTCACCTTTAATATGAAGCTAATTATGTTTATAATCGATTTTTGGAGTGATTAATGAAAGATTTTATTATTGCCTTAATATTTGTTAGATGTTACAAAGATAGAAAAAACATAATTTATAACTACCATAACCTTATTAAACATAAAAATAACAAAATACATAATTTAAAAATATGAGACATCTTTAAAAATATCCCAAGCATGCCCGTATGGAAAATCAACCCTGTTATTTTTGTATTTGTATTCCACCCTTGCCAGCTGTAAAATTACTTGTTCATCTTCATCCATTAATTCGTTGTCGAGCTTGTGATAAATTCTTATAAAATTCTTCACCTTTGATAACATGTCTACAAACTTAGCATTCACTTATTCTTCGGTTCGATATTGTGGAACATCTAACTCAAATTGAAACAAAATTTTTAAGCGTGTCCATCACAATCCGTACATTAGATGTGACAACATGAGGAAAACCATATTATCCTCAATTATTACCCAATACGGAACGAGTGTGATCTCTTCATGTATAGTCCACGACTGGGGTTGATTTACTATCATTCCAGACTTCTAAAAGTTTTATAATTCTGGAGTTCTAAAGGTTTTACAATTCCAATCTCTTATTTATAATGGTTCTTGTTGGATTCCGGATTGACATTCTGAAAGTCATATAAATCATTCATGTATAGCAAATCAGTTATATATGTCATATATTCCTGACGAATATGAGTCACGGACGCATACTTCGGACACACATTTTGAACGTCGCATTTCGGAGACATAGATTCCGGACATTGCATTCCAGACACTTACTTTAGACATGGCATTTCGGACTATTAATATGTACCTACCTTGCATCGTAAACATATAAATAAGTTAAGAATGAGTTCATCTGAGTTTGGTGTTTGACATTGTGAAAAAGAAGATTACTATGTTTTTTTAGATATCAACCCGTTTCCGGAAGGCCCATATTTCCCACCACCAGATAAAATGTTTGATGACATTTTCCAAGCTATGAAGGCCGTTGAACAAGCAAACGAAAGGGATTCTGAAACAAGCCAGTCACTTGGTCAATGTGAAAACGATCTAGCGGAACACATAACCGAAAAAAATGGACTGCTGAAGTTATGAAAAAAGTCATAGAAGCTAAGAAGTGGATTTAACATGCAAATGCAAAGATCGATAAGCTTCATGCAGAACGAGACCGTCTAACATATGTTGTTAGAATTAAATGGGATTTTATTGACTGCTAAAAAATATATATCCCTTACATTTTCCTAATTTTTGGAAACAATATAAGTATGTAATAGGATTTGTAATGATTTTTGTACTAATGTGAATGTAAAACATTTCCGTTTTAGATAACCCTACCGTTTCGTTTACATATTTAAGTTTCAACAGTCATTACAATATTAAAATTTTATATTACATTTCCAGGATAACCGGAAGCTTGCATCCAATGCAAGCTAGCGGTGTCTACATAATTTTCAAACAATTCCATGTGGGTTTTAATTAGGCTGAACCCATTATTTGTCAATTGGACTCAATTTCTATTGTTAGAGTTGTCCTACATGCTTCTTCGATGAGGTCCATTGTGTTCATAAACTGTTGTATATCTTTAGACATTGTGATGAGGAGCATTTGCATATTATACACTGCTATTTTTCTCTGCTCCTCGGCCACAAAAGGCGGTAATGAGATTTCCAGTATCACCATTCGCTGTTTCGCATGTTGATAATCATGAATGAACTTTAATACAGTCGTATCAACAATACATCGTTGTCCTTCTTCAAGACGTAATATATCATATTCTATTGGCAACTCATCCTCATTGATCGAGTAACTGAATGTTGGAGACCGAATATTTTTAAATATATTAACATACACATTAAAAACATGAGAGATGATTTGTACACAACAATTTTTCTCCATACACAACAATTGGTGCTTTAAAATGTTGTACTGTACAACTCAATAATGCATAATTTGTTATTTATGGCAAAAAACTGGTGTATACGAATCACTTCCCTAAAAACATGGACTTGCATAAACATATCCAACAATAAAACCAACATACTGAAACATAACTATCAAAATATAATGACATTGCAACTAGTTTATAATAATTGGTTTGTCTGAACTTGCTCCGGTCCCATCTTTTGGAATTCTGTCTTATTTCAATTTAAGCTTTAAAAACATCTTTGATTTCTTTCTTAATTTTATAGGTGTCTTTGTTGGCTTATTTATATATTTTATAATTTCTAAATTAGCATCCTGGTTTGTTATCTGCAAAAACAAATTTCCAACAACATTTTAATGCATATTACCATAAAAACCAACCATTTTAACAAAATTATAATCATTTTTACCTTTATTGGGTGTAATTTTGAAAGGACCTGTAAATGGAATAAAACTTTTTCGTTTGTAAAACCCATTTTTTTAACATCCATGCAACTTATTTTTGGACTAATAGAGGTTATTAAACAATGTCAACCACAAAATAATAATAATAATAATAATAATAATAATAATAATAATAATAATAATAATAATAATAATCAATTATCATTCCGACTTCTCGTTCCAGAACATCATTCTAGGCCAAGTTCTTTGTATTCCGGAACATCATTTCGGACCAAGATCTTCGTATTCCGGACCTAAAGAACCTTTCTAGATTTTCTAGAAACATAGTTCTGGACTAAAAAACGGTTCTAAACACACTATAAGATAATTGCATGTACCTCATATATGTACAACAAAAAAAACACACAAATATTGGATATTTCAGACTCGTTTTCCGTATTCCGGAGTGTTCATCGCATTTTAGAATACGTCTATTTGTTTCAAAACTCAAATGTAAGTAATTTAAAAAGTAGAACTCACTTGGTTTGAAGAATCCGAAAATACAAGTAAAACGAACTTTCAGGAGAATTCGAAACGCATATTCCAAATTTTTGTGTGGGACCCATATATAACATTGGACTTGGGTCATATGTTTTGGTCCTGAATGGTGGTCATTTTACAAAAATATTTATTATCGTTAATAGTTGTTAGTTTACTAAATTTCCAATAAAAAATTAATTAAAAAAAAAAAGAAGAAAAAAATCAGGAATTATCTATAACAAATAATCACGTGGATCGCGGCACCTCGTAACAACACGATGCGATCACTATACTTCACCGTACAACTCTTCCTTCGTTACCCTCCTCCATCTCTACCAACGCCAACGACTTCCCCCAAACGAACGCTCTCCTTCCGGTCCCTCCGCAGATCGATTTCAGCCGTCACCGCCACCACCACCGCCACCATGGACCAAAACTTAATCAAAAAGACTTCATCGCCGGCAGAACACATCGCGGGACCATGGTACTCCGTCCCGGAACTCCGTCTTCGCGACCATCACTTCACTGTCCCACTCGATTATTCTCTATCTCAATCCCCTAAAATCTCGGTTTTTGCTCGGGAGGCCGTTTCCGGTAAATCATTAACTTCCACTTTCATTCCGGAATTATTTTGTACAAATTATGAGTCCTGGTTACCACTGAATCATTGTACTCATCACTTCAATGCCAAGACTTTTTCGGTCAAAGGCAATCATTGCAATGCAAACTGATGTGGAGTCTTCTGACTAATTTAATATCAACATTGCTGGATATCGAGTTTGTTTTATCAAATTATTCAGATTCACTGTCATCTAGACTATTATGTTGAAAATTAACCCGTTTGATCGCAAGATGGATGCGCCGATTTTCTATTTTGAAATTAAGAAAGTACTTCTTCTTTCGTATTATCATACTTCTGTTCCCATGATCTGGATCAAGATCTGATTGAAAACTACACAGATAAAGGAACTTATTAAGGTACAATCATTGAAGAAATCGGAGAGACTTATTAACATACAAAATAAAATTGAACTAATTTACGAGTGACAATAAACTCAAAAGTTTATACATAAAAAACTTGTTGAATATGGAGTTTAATTTTCATGTGGTGCAGTTGGAAAGGAAGATCAAGCTCTTCCATACCTGTTATACCTACAAGGTGGACCTGGTTTTGAGTCACCAAGGCCAACTGAGTCAAGTGGGTGGTTGAGTAAAGCATGTGAAGAACATCGCGTTATTCTTTTGGATCAGGCATGTTTCCATTTTTACCCTTGCCCTATTCTTTTATCAACCATTACTATATGTTTGCATCTATCTCTTTTTCATCTTTTGATTTTCTAAAATTGCAGAGAGGAACAGGGTTGTCAACTCCTCTAACAACATCATCAATGCTACAATTCAAATCTCCACAAGAATTGGTTGATTACTTGAAGTATTTTCGAGCAGATAATATTGTGAATGATGCTGAGTTTATCAGAAAACATCTTGTCCCCGATGCTGCTCCTTGGAAGCTCTTGGGCCAGGTATGAAAAAGACAAAAATACCCTTTTTATTAACAGGTTATATTAGCAAATGACACCTCACCTCTTTTGTTTTGTTAATAGAGTTTTGGTGGTTTTTGTGGAGTGACATATCTAAGTTTTGCACCTCAAGGGCTAAAACAAGTCTTTTTGACTGGTGGGATTCCACCAATTAAAGATGGATGCACAGCTGAAACTGTGTATAGAGCTTGTATTGACCCTATTGTCCTCCAAAATGAAAAATATTACAAAAGATACCCTCAGGATATTCAGATCATTCGTGATGTTGTCATCCATTTGGCAGAGTCCGAAGGAGGCGGGGTAAGGGTATTTTCGTAAATAAATAAAAAAAAAAACTTCGAATCTTGTTTATCTAAAATATAACTAATCTTTTTTCACCTTCACTGTGTGTTTTGTGTGTGTTATTATAATAGGTTCCTCTTCCATCTGGTGGTGTATTAACCCCGCGGGGCCTACAACTCCTTGGCCTTACTGGCTTAGGTGCTAGCACAGGCTTCGAGCGTTTGCACTACTTGTATGTTTGACTTATTAATCAAATATCTAAAAGACTAAAATACCCCTGTCATATTATTGTTTTTGTTTTATTTATAGGTTTGAAAGAGTGTGGGATCCGGTAATAGTTCCAGGGTCAAAGAAGCAAATAAGCTATTACTTCTTAAATTCTGTGAGACAAAATTTTCCTCTTTACATATCATGTATAATGACAGAATTGCCCCTGCGAAAACCTTAACATCACTTTATATAATACAGTTTGAGAGGTGGTTATCTTTCGATACAAATCCACTATACGCCCTTTTGCATGAATCCATATATTGTCAGGTAATCTAATCGTTTCAATTTCAAGTTTCATCATAACATAAACTCAAAAAATAAATAAAATTTAATTTACATTAAATTTTAAATTAAAAGGGAGCTGCATCACAATGGGCTGCTCACAGAGTAAGACTTGAACATGAAAGTAAACTTGATGCAGTAAAAGCCGCTAAAGAAAACCGCCCTGTTTTGCTCACAGGAGAGGTAAATTTTCCGATTAAAATTTTTAATTAAAAAAGTGAATGTTTTTATTTATATTTAAAGAAATAATAATAATGCAGATGGTGTTCCCATGGATGTTTGATGAAATTCATGCATTGAGGCCATTTAAGGAAGCAGCGAATTTGTTGGCTGAGAAAAAAGATTGGCCTCCTTTATATAACAAAACAGCATTGAATAATAACAAGGTATGTTTTAATTGTATAATAAAATAATGTTTACTTAAAAAAATATAATGAACATATTTTTAATCGTTTAATTTAAAAAAAAAAAAATAGGTGCCAGTTGCTGCTGCGGTTTATTATGAAGATATGTTTGTTAATTTTAATGTGGCAATAGAAACGAGTAAAGAGATAAGGGGAATAAGGTTATGGGTAACTAATGAATACATGCACTCGGGTCTACGTGATGGAGCAACTCATGTTTTGGATCATTTGATGGGTTTGTTAAATGGCAAGAAGCCACTTTTTTGACATTGCGACTATATTTAAAAGTTAAATAGTTTTTTTTTTTTTTTTTTTTTTTTTTTGATGTTTGAGGATTTATATTGTTATATTTATATGTTTGATAGGAGCATTTTATTTAGTTATTGGGTTTATATTAACTTTTTGGATATACTAATTTAAATATTAAACAACTTCATGTTTACAATATTTTGAACTTTAATATATTTTTATTCTCATATCCAAAAATCTTTTTCTGCCACTACTCATATTGTAATTGTAAACCATGTATAACCCACCAACAACAATATGTTCACCACTAAGATTCATATGAAAATAATTAGTTGGTTTATGATGAAATTGTAAGTGTTTTGTTATTGAACATAGAACTTTATGGTAAATGTTAAGATTATTATGTGTGGGCAACATGTTATTACATGTATTCACACCTAAATTGTCCACCTCATCATCCTAGTCACAATTTGGTGTTATAACACCAAAGGTGGAAATGGACAACACCAAATAACATTGGTTAACATATTTAATTTTCTATTTTTTATGAATGTTTTTAGTTTCTTTTATTCTAATTTGTTTTATTTTTTTTATTCACTTCATATATTTCTATTTCGTTTTATTTTTTATTTATTTATGTCATATATCTAAAAAAACATATAAATTAATAAAACATAATTTCATTAAATAGTAAATTAAAAATACCATACAAACCAAAAACAAAAGACATTGAAAAAAAAAACACACGATAGTCATAATAATTAAAAAAACAAAACACTGACAAACTATTCTTCGTCCAAGTATTTTCTCTCTATCTGTGCTTTCATCCTCCGTATTACTTCAGCTCGTCTCGTTGGTAATTTTTTTTTTCGTTTGTCGTAAGAATTACCAAATCCTTCGATATACGATCTTCTTGGGCTTCTTGACGAAGGAATTCCAAATGCTCCCGTTGCAATTCATATTTTTTATTTGCGATTTCCGTGTGCGCGTCGATTTTTTTTTCATGTCCTCGTTGTCTTGAAGCCGACTTTCATTCTCCTCCGCATATCGTTGAGCTCGCTTCGCTTTGTCGCGCCCCACCGGTCGTCGTGGCGGAGAGATTTCCTTGATGTCGTCAAACTCGTTCGGGATCTCATCGGTGTCCGCGTTGAGGTCGATGTTCGTGTATCCGTCGGAAACGTCAACCGAACCCGAACCCGAACCATAAGACCTCTTCGATTGTTGTTCCGATGATGTTGGTGTTTTCATCCATTTTGGATCTTTCCTCACTATCTCCCATACTTTTTCATACTCAAATACGTGCCCCATTTGCAAGTGATATTCCTCCCTCGCGGCTCTAAACACATCGAAATCATTGGCACCACTTTGACGTTGCGAAGAAAGTTTGTTGTATATGGAATTGAATTTGGTGCACTTCCGGCTAATTTGAGTCCATTTTCCACTAAGCATATCATTATTGCGATATGTGTCACTCTTGTCCAAAATCGTGCAGAATTTGATGATTACGGCATCCCAAAAAGCAATTATCTTCATATCGTTCTCCATGATTGGTTGTTTTGAAGTACCGCACTAAGCCACCACCAACGCATGCTCTTCCTCCGATGTCCACCATGTTGGAGGTGCTTCTGTTTCATCCGTCCCGACAACGACCTCTTTCCCTTTCTTTTTTGGTCTCCCTTTTTTTCCCGATGCTCTCTGACTACCGCCAACTTGCGTCTCGACAACGGGTTCTTACGTGGGTGTGGGTTGTGTGACTGTTTGGCGCATGGAACCAAATGTGTGAAAAGGGTTTTGTTGTATATTTTCATTTTGTTGCATAAATGGTGAGGTAGGGAATTGTATTGTGGGTGAGGCGGTATTGAAAAAATTATCGGAATATGGAATTTGTGGTGAGTTTTGGGACTTTAGAAGGTTCATGTATCCCTCGTATCCCGCAAAACCCAATGGAGTGGATGTTTTTGTCTTCGGAGGAGGGGTATTCGGGTTTTGATCCATAGTGGGTATTTTGTTTTGAATGAAATAGAGATAGATATAGATAAATAGAGATAGAGAGGTTAGAGTAAAATGATATATATATATATATATATATATATATATATATATATATATATATATATATATATATATATATATAAAGTAAATTGAAGAAGTAATTTTTTTTAAACTACTAGGTGTGGGCAACATGTTATCATATATTACCACACCCAAAAGGTGTCATGTCAGCATCCTACTCATACATAGTATTATAACACCGAATGTGGAAATGGGCAACATCTAATAACATGTGATAACACCAATTATTTTCTATTTTTTTGATGTTTTTTTTTTCTATATTTTGTATTTGTTTTTTTTATTTATTTCTATTTGAAAAGTAAAAAATAAAATTTTAATAAATCTTAAATTAAAAACAACATTATAAAAATTACAACAAAACACAAAAACATTCACAAACGTAAAAAAATGAAAAAACAAAAAAAAGATGATAAAACCTATATTTTTTGCCCTAAAACTATTCGTCTTCATCTTCGTGACCAACATAGATGTAATCCGTCAAGTCTTCACGGAGTTGCTTGTGTTTTCGCTAATCTTGAATATCAACCACTCCATGTAAATATTCTGATGTCCCTGGTTGAAATTGCACATATCTTGGTTCCGTAGAAGAATACGTTGCAATATGCGTCCTTTATGTTCGACAACCATGCTATGCATTATGATACATGCATACATGATATATCGTAGAGTATCTAACTCATAAGGTTTCGCCACATGTTCAACAATGTGCCGTTTTGATTTCAAAACCCCAAAAGCACGTTCAACGTCCTTACGTGCTCCTTCTTGTCGTCTCTTGAAATATTTGTCCCTTGGATCTATTGAGTGTCGAAACGCCTTCACAAACGTAGAATATCGTTGATATATTCCTTCTGTAAGGTAATACCCGAACTTATATTCATTTTCATTCACTATGAAAGGAGCATCCGGGGCTTTTCCTGACAAAAGATCGTCAAATATCGGTGATTGATCGAGAACGTTGACGTCGTTGTTAGAACCCGCAACCCCGAAAAAAACATGCCAAATCCATAAATCTTGTGAAGCAACAACCTCTAATACCAACGAAGGCGCTCCATGATGACCGCTCGAATACTGGCCTTTCCACGCCACGGGACAATTTTTTCATTTTCAGTGTGTGCAGTCAATGCTCCCAAGCATACCCGGAAAACCATGTCTTTCTTCATGCGCCACATATAATTGTTACATATCATGCAACGAAGGTTTGCGCAAGTATTGGTCACCAAAGGTTTCGACAACACCTCTTGCCAATAAATACAAACTTTCTCGTGCGGCCCTCTCAGGCATTCTCATGTAATCATCAATAGAATCGGGGGACTCCCCCATTTCCATAAGTTTAATTGCAACAACACATTTTTGCAACCCTGTGAAACCTCGTTTTCCTCTAGCATCATATCTCATTTGGAAAAATGCATACCTAAATAAATATTAAACACGTAAAAATTATTTTTATTTTTATCTAAAAGTAAAATTTTATAAATTATAAAAGTTGAAACAAACGATAACTAAATATATAGTAAACAAACGATACCTAAATAAATATTAAACACGTAAAAATTATGTCTATATTTATTTAAAAGTGTCATTTTAAAAATTATAAAAATTGAAACAAACGATACTTAAATATATAGTAAACAAATGATACCTAAATAAATATTAAACACGTAAAAATTATATCTATATTTATTTAAAAGTGACATTTTATAAATTATAAAAGTTGAAACAAACGATACCTTGCTTCCATAGCGTTGACTATTCTTTCAAAAGTATTTTTTCGCAAAAGAAATCTTCTTTTGAAATCGTTTGGTTGGTAGACACAATTTTTCCCAAAGTAATCGTTAACTAGACGTCTATGCCCTTCCTCGCGATCTCTATTTAACGCCGCACGTCGGATGAGTAATAGAGTTGGATCTGGCTGTACTAGGCTGCCTGTATAATACTAGTACATCATACTCACGAACAAATCATCTTCATCGTTATCATTGTTGTACGTATTGACCGGATCAAATTCATCCATATTTTAGTTTTGAAATATTGAAAGAAATATGTAGAGAATTTTGTAGGTAAAAATGAAACAAATATGATTTGATACATTATATATATAAAAGTTGTTTCTTTTATGTTATCGTTTGAAAACAAACGGTCAAAATTATGTCGAAAAAAGAGAAAATCACCCGTTGTTACCATAACGCGTCGTGGCGTAACGCGCCTTAACGCGAGCCCGAGGCGGTGTTCCCCGCCATGGCGCCGTAAAGGGCGTATGCCACGTAAGATAACGTCTTATGCGCATTGCCCACACCCGTTCGTCTTACAATTCCACCGTATACAACAACGATATTATTACCGTTTTTCAACAGAAAGAAATTGAAACGGTCGAAAACTTACACGTTATGGCTCGTTATCATGGTAACATCGAATGGCGTAACACGCCTTAATGCGAGCCTGGGGCGGTGTTCCCCATGATGGCGGCAGTGGCGAGTTTGTATATATATTTGGTGGGTCATTTGACCCACCTTTATATATATATATATATATATATATATATATATATAATATATATATATATATATATATATATATATATATATATTACAAGTTATATATAATAAATTAGTGGGACCCTCCTTAAAAAAATATGAGTGAACCATCTAAATACTTTTAACAAAAATATATATAATAATAAATTAGATATTCAGAGCGTTTGTTCTATTTTGTAGTAGCCCAATGTTTTTAGGGTATAGCCCAATAAAATTAAATTAAAAAAAAGAAAAAAAAACAAGTTAATGCACCTCACGAACAACATCAATTTTGAGTTTTCACAGGGCTTCAATTTCATTCAAGGAGCACCATTTGGCATTTGCCCGTGCCCACCATAGGTATATTACTTAACTAGTTTATAACCCGTGAGAACCACAATTAGAAAATTAATTAAACTTTTTAAGTAAAAACTCAAAACTATTAATTAATAATTTTAAATAACTTATTAATTAAAATATATTTTTTTAGTTATATATAAAATTATAATTGTTGGTTCAAATAAATACGTAAAATATATCATCTTATAATTTATATAAATTTTATTTTATTTTTATTCTAATAGTATTAATTTAATGTAATTCAAATGTGATTTAAATTTTGAAATTTGAAATTTGAAATGGAGAATTAATAGATTGACAAATGTCATGATATTAATTACAAGCATTAATAAATTGACAAGTGTCATGATATTAATTACAATGTCTAATATTGTAACACATGGCAAAAGAACTACTCTTTTATTAGATAGGAAGATTAGTCAATTTTAGAAATTTTGTCATTTTATCGATTGTGATTAATATATTATTTTTTGTTTTGGAATTCTAATACCACTAATGGTTAATGGACGATTTACAATTCCCAAATCATTAATCTTCATAAATCCCATGAATTGCTCCCGATTACAACTATTTTAATAATATCGAATAGTTACTGTGGGTTTTTCTTTTCAGTTGTTACTTTTGATTGCCTTATTCCATGATTCTAATTTTAAATAGGCTTTCTTTATTGTTTTTAATTTTCATTGTCAATTGATTATTGGATTGTTGTTTATTTGTTTGAATATTTGATTGTTGTTTGTTTCAGAAATTAAAATCAATAATGTCTTTATTCAAGTTTTTTAAAAAGAGTGATAAAAATACAATAGAAGATAACGAGCAACATAAGCATATGAGAGTTGATTTAAGTTCACTACCTATTGACCCGACACAACGACCAAGTATGGAATATTATCATGTGAACCAAAGAGATGAAATTAGAAGAGCATACTTGCAAAAAGGACCTTTCCAACCTCAAAACTATAAGTTTCCACAAAGTGCTTTTGGAGGTAAACAACGAAGATTCAATATATCTTGGTTTGATGACAATAAATATTGATTAGAATATAGTATAAAAGAGAATGCCGCATTTTGTTTATGTTGTTATCTATTTAAATCCGATATACCAAACCAAGGTGGATCAAATCATTTTGTGAAATCTGGTTTTAAAGCTTGGAATAGGAAATCAGGACTAGATGATCATAGAGCTGGAAATCCACGTATTATTTGCTGTCCAAAAGTGTTAAAATTTGATGAACCAAAGGCAATCCATAACTACTGCTTTTGAGAAACAAACCACTTTACAAGAAAAAGAATATTGTATTCGTTTGAATGCTTCAATTGATTGTGTTAGATTCTTATTACGTCAAGGATTGGCATTTCGTGGTCATGATGAGACGGACGACTCGGATAATAAAGGTAACTTTCTTGAACTTTTACAATGGTTAGTTGATCGATATGATGTGGTAGATCGTGCTGTGTTAAAGAATGCTCCAAAAAATACCCAATTGAAATGCAGTGAGATCCAGAAAGATATCGTGCATGCATGTTCAGATGCAACAATAAATGTTATTATGGAAGATCTTGGAAAAGATTTTTTTTTGCAATTTTGGTAGACGAGTCACGTGATATTTCTTGTAAAGAACAATTGGCATTAATATTGAGGTTTGTAAATAAAAAGGGGGAAGTTGTAGAAAGGTTTGTTGGCCTTAGACATGTCAGTGACACTTCAGCTTTGACACTAATGGCAACCATTTATGATATGCTCTCAAAATGGAATTTAAGTAATACTAGCATTAGAGGGCAAGGCTATGATGGTGTTAGTAACATGAGTGGTGCATTTAATGGATTGAAGAATTTGATTATGAATGAAGCAAAATCTGCATACTTTATTCATTGTTTTGCTCACCAATTACAGTTAGCCCTAGTGTTTGTTGCAAAAAATCACACGAAGGTTAATGATTTCTTTGATGCGGTTTCTCGACTATTAAACATTATTGGATCTTCCTACAAGTGACGAGATAATTTAAGAATAAAACAAGAGAATAAAGTTATGGAAGCATTGGTTGAAGGTTTGCTTTATAATTGTACTAGATTTATTATTAAAATATTTTAGGGTTATGTTATTCTTATTAATCTTTTATATGGTAAATTTTAGGTGAGCTTGAGAGTGGTACCGGTTTGAACCAACAAGTGGGTATCAAACGACCATCTGATACTCGATGGGGTTCTCATTTTTCATCTCTATTGAATATCAAGAACATATATTCTTCCATTTGTGAAGTACTTGAAGACCTTGGTAGAGATAATAGTGATCGTGATCGTAAAGCTGAAGCAATTTGCATCTTAAGGTTATTAAAATCCTTTGATTTTGTGTTTTGTCTACACTTGATGGTTGATATCTTGGGAGTCACAAATCATTTAAATACAACATTACAAAGAAAAGACCAAGATATCGTAAATGCCATGAATCAAGTAAGTAGCTCTAAAAGAGCAATTCAAGAAATTAGAGATGTAGGATGGGAACCACTTTTAGGGAATGTTACTTTGTTTTGCGATAAACATGATGTTAGAATTGTGGATATGGAAGATGAATATTATGATGGATTCAGTCGTCGAAGAGGTTCACAGGTTGGTAACGTTTGATATTACCAACTTGATTTATTTATTGTGTCTTGTCATTAGCATGTTAAAGATTTTTTTTTCAAGTAAACAACTTGCACCACTATCATGTTGATGTATTTAAGGCGGTGATTGATATACAACTTCAAGAGCTTAACCATCACTTTAATGAAGCCAACACGAAATTACTTCTTTGCATAGCTTGTTTGTGCCCGCGTGAGTCTTTTAAAGCCTTTGATTTGGATAAACTAATGGAAATAACTACACTTTATAGGGAAGACTTTCCAACAGAATATGATCTTCAAGTTCTTGAAGTTGAACTTAAAAATTACATTACGGATGTGCGAGAAGATGAACGATTTAATCAATTGAAGAGCATTGGAGAACTTTCCAAAAAGATGGTCGAAGCACAAAAGCATATAATATATCCTAAGGTTTACCTTCTCTTAAAACTTGCATTGATCTTACCCGTTGCAACAGCGAGTGTAGAACACGCATTTTCAGCAATGAAGTTGGTAAAGACTGATGTACGCAACAAAATGGGTGATCAATTTTTAAGTGATAGTTTGGTGTCATATATTGAAAAAATTGTTTTAGATAGTATTAGTAATGATACAATTGTGAAATTATATCAAGCTATAAGACCTCGTCGAGTATAATTGTAAGAATTTAATTTTTTTTCTTTGATTTTACGACTCGACCCGATCCGAACCCGCAATAATATATATATTTTTAATATTTTTTTCTTTTATCACTTTCATTTAAATAACATGTTGATTTACGTTCTAGACTCGCCACTGGATGGCTGCGTTAAGGGTGTATGCCACGTAAGATAACACGGCTAATGCGTTGCCCACACCCGTTCGTCTAACAAATATATGATAACCACTAAGATTCATATGAAAATAATTAGTTGGTTTATTATGAAATTCATAAGTGTTGTGTTATTGAACATCAATGTTATTCTACTTTGTATTAGTTTCTGGATTCCTTTTATATAAAATTTGAACTGTTCACTAGTAAATCTGGATTGTGTTGGTTTATCGTAGGAAATTTATCGAAAATAAATTAAAAAAATATATAAAAATGTTGTTAATTATGGCTCTAAGGACATCTAGTCATCAAAACAAGTTTTTTAGAAATTACTTTCGACATCTCGAAAAAGTAATTGTTTTTCTAAAATAAAAATCAATTACTTTTGTCAACGACATGACATTACCAAAAGTAATAATCAATTTTTTATTTTATGTCAATGACAAAATAGTGTCATATAGTTTGCAACTATGTGTCTACGTGTGTTATTTATTATTTTTTTTAATATAATATTTTTAATCATGTTTTATTTACTCTATTTGGTCCAACATAGTCAGATTTTGAATATATGTAAAAGACCATAATCGTACCTCGTAAGTTTAGTTTAATTGATTTTGGATTGTTTGATTCGATTAACTAAATAAACTAGATAATGTTTCTTTTTTTCATGTATAAAACGGATATGGTATAAACCAAAATACGTATAATTTGTACCATTATTTTAAGAGATGTTAAATATCCTCCTACAAAATTTTCTTATTTTTCTTTATATTCACCGGAACAAATGTCGTAATCAAAAGATAAGATGAGAAAAGAGAATTAATGGATTATAACTTCACAATCCATATACAAATAGGCGGATGAAATAAAGTATGAATCAATTTAATTTTTTTTATTTTAATATTAGAATCACATCTCTCTAACGTTAGAAAATTCGCAATGTAAAACTCGACACCTACATTTAGAAGGGAGCTGATAATTCCACGACTGTTATTGATACATCCACTGATTTTTGAAAGAAAATGACAATTATGCCCCCGGTTCTATTTAGAGTTTAATTGATCATCAAAAAGCATATTTTTAGTAAAACCATTATACCAAATGAGGAACTAGGTTTCTACGAATACACTCCACAAGAATCCCGTCTTCCATCATCACTTTCACCTTAATATGCTCTTAATATAAGCAGCGTTGCTTGCCCTCTGTTCGGAACCATTATGCCTTTGACCCTATTGAAAATTGAATCAAATTGAATATACGACAAAGGAAAACCACCATGCATAAACCGAAAGGAATTCATTTTGCAAGTGAAGAAGGAAATTAATTCTTCAGCAACATTCCCACATTTATCCCGTTGCGTCACTCACGAATAGATTGAACCGGCTTCTGATGGGTATGCTAATGCGAAATAATTTATGCCAACCAAAGATTCAGGTCTGAGTGGATTTAATTAGGTTTAGATCTGGCTCTGCAACATTTTCATTCTGGTGATGCGAACTTAGTGTGACTCCGTTTTTGCTGTTATTTTTAACGTCGGATCGATTCAGACGATCATAAAGCATGGTTGCCAAATGGGTATGTTGAGAGGACAAATTAAGTAAGTAGGGCAGATCGTGAGTTCATGGGCATCGTACGTAACGATGCTGATTCACCTATCCATCAGCGCATATTTGTCTCATTGTAGGTAGAACTCTACAATAGCATTAAACTGGGTGTTCTGATGATCGGGTATACGAAGCAAAGGATGAATGTGAAGGTATTAAGCAATGAGATAGGGGTGTTAGTGAAGTTGCTCGTGGCGGGGAAAGGAGGAGAGACAGTACTTGTGGTGGTGTAGAGATATTGAGAAACAAGATATAGCAGTTGGTGAGTGTGGTTATGGAAGATGAGGAGGAGGGCTAAGGAGCTGAAGTAAGCAATAGATAGACATCGAATTTATCGAGTCATGTAAATTGCAAGGTTATGCTATTACCTCAATCAAGAACATGGGACCTGAATAGTTGGATTGGATGTTTAAAGAATCCAAATGGAGTTTACCGAATATTTAATTAAAAAGGGGCATGATTGTCATTGTGCTTTAAAATCCGTGGAAGTATCAATAACAATCCTTGGAATTAGCACCTCCCCATTTAGAACTTACATAATCTTTTAACATAAAATAACTTAGATAGTAGATTCCATAGGTCCTTTGACACTAATGACTTGCAAAGTAAATTACATAAATATAAAAATATTAATTTAATTGCGTTAGACTAACACCATTGGCAACTAAATCTTTAATCGGTTGTCTAATTGAATTAAAAGAAATTAGAAATTCCTTCAAAGCCCACAACAGATTTGCTCCACCAAACCTTTAGTCGTCCATTTTTTTTCTTTTCTTTTTTGTTTATTACTCTTTTTAGATAAACACCATTTTTTTAATTAATTTTGTTTTATTTTTTATTATAAAAATAAACAAAATACACTAAAATACTTAAAATAATTTTGTCTATAAATATAGATCAATATTGATATATTTAAAGATTTTTTTTTTATAATTTTTTATATTGTATATATAATCTTTAAATATAATAACAAAATTAGGTTATAAATTTAATAAAACATAATATATAGTTGGTATAGTATAATAAAAAATAATCATAATTAATATAATAGTTTGGTTTGGATTCGTTTGCTAATGGGTGTGAAATTTTGGGTTTAATTGGGTTGTATAGGTGGAAGAGAGAAATTAATTTTTTAATAGATACTTGGGTTGATTTTGGTTGGGAATGAGAGTAATCTTAAACAATCTATTCTAGACGAAACTTATTTAATTATTTTGGTGGGACCTATATATACATTTATTATTTCTAGCATATTAAACAACTTAATCAAAAAGCTTATGTGTATTGTGGAGGTAATTATAATTTTTTATTTTGGGAGATGATTTGTTCACAACAATTTTTTTTTTCATACACAACAATTGGTTCTTTAAAATGTTATACCGTACAACTTTATAATACATAAATCATTGTGTATGACAAAAAAACTGTTTTGTGTGAATCATTTCCCTTTTATTTTGTTGAGGTGGCATTATATTTTGTTGAGGTGACATTAAAAACTTTTGCTTTTATGGATATTCTAAAGTCATTATTAATCATTTAAGTGATTCAAATTATCTATAAAAAATAATCCGAACAAAATAACTCAGATCTTATGTGGTTTGGATAGGTATTTTGTTTTTGTTTTTTGTTTTTTGTTTTGTTTTTTTGTTTGTTTTTTTTCCTAGAGCAACTATTACATCGACCCATGTTTTACCCAACACATTTTGTAGATATAAAATACATATACAGTTTAAATCATTGAAAACATGTATAAAACGTTCATCCAACATAGATAGCAAGTATTCAGATAATATGCACACATAACACGTAATTTATATAAAATACTTCATATCTATGTGTAAGTTGAAAGTAACTATGAACTCACCTGGTAAGGTGGTGACTCGACACTCGGATAACACTTCGTTACTTCTTATAACAATTTTTCCTTGACCAAAACCTAGTATTAATACCACTAGAGTTTAGTTTTAACATTAATCGCGACTAATTAATAGTCTAGCTATTTAACACTCAATATAACTCATTATAATAGCCCAAATAATTATTTTAAGGTCCTAATAATGTTACTATAATTAAATAAAAGCTATATTAAATATAGTATAGGCGTAACTCACTTACAACGGGTTTTTATTAAAAACCGGGCTTCGCTGGAGCAGCGTTTCCGAGCCGAAAGCTTTTCTTCTCGGAGCCGTCGGGCGCTCTGGGGCTTTCTTCTCGTGATAGGGAGGTTCCCTAGACTTGAGAGGGGTTTAGGGAGGTTAGAGAGAAGTTAGAGAGAGAAAGAAAGGTTTGAAGGTGTGAGGAAATTATGAAGAGTTCATCTCTTATTTATAGGAATTATATAGTAAAGTAATCTCCAAGCTTCGTCCGTAACTTTTGCATACGAGCTCCGTTTTTGTCTGTCTTTTTACTGTTGAGTTCCTATTAATGAGATCTTCAACTTTCATTTAGACCTCGTTGGCTAATTCTCATTCTATCTCGGATTTACAAAACTGTATCGAATTCGCCGCGCTCGAAAAGTAGAGACTAAGCTTCGTCCATAACTTTCGCATACGAGCCTCGTTTTTGTCTGTCTTCTTACTATTGAGTTCCTATTAATGAGATCTTCAACTTTCATTTAGACTATTTTGGCTAAATATCGACCGATCTAAAATTCAGATTTCGGACTGTGCACTGCTATGCTAAATCTTAGAGAAATCATAACTTCCTCATACAAAGTTAGATTTGGATGTTCTTTTTATGCACACTATTGGTTTAACATATACTACAAATTTCGTTTAGATCGCTAAGGCTAAATCTCGCTCTATTGTAAATTCACTATTTACGCCTCCCGATATCGTGTCGATTCCGTCGCGAAACTTCGACGAGTCATAACTTCTTCGTTATAACTCGGATTTCGACGCTCTTTATATATACGGAAACCTTGTAACATATACTAAAACTTTGTTGATATTATTTATTCTTAATAATCTTTGTCGAAAAGTCATTTTCGACCCCTATTGCCTCTAAATTGACTAGTCCGGATCTACAGGCGTTACACAGTTGTCCACTCTAAAAGTTTATGTTTCTTTTAACGTGTGCATTTATGATATGAAGTGAAGTGGTTACCATTTAGTAGTGAACATTTTCCCCACAAAGGTTTTTAAGATCAAACATCAAAATCAAATAGGTACGCATCATTAATTAGTTCCAGTCAAACCTTTTTGCTGCTAACCATATGTTATAGTAGAAAACAACATTCTAAATAACATCAATGCTCACCTTAACATAAATATGTTATTATTTTGTTTTATAATGAAAATGAGTTTTATTTATAAACAACAACAGTGATGAGTTTCAAAACTCCGACCCATACACACACCTCCACCGGCGAATCCTAGAGCCTTGCACCAGGTTTCACATACTTCATCTGTATGGCAACGTACGGATACACAAACAAGTCCACCCTTTTCCGGTAAGGACACTGCCCAATTGATGATAAAAAAATATATATATTATCAAAATCATGTTCTTATTTGGATAAAAAAAATTCCATTTTTTTTTTTGAATTATTTCACAAAATGTGATTTTTGAACAATTTACGTATATCATGCTTTGAACTTAGATGATTTATTTTTTTGAACTTATGACTACAATGAATTATATAAAAGAATAACAAAGGATAATAACAAACGTGAGAAATATTACATATAGGTTTTACAATATAAATGCATATCTTAAAATATATTTTATTTAGAAATGGATGAGAAATATATTTTACCGGATGCTTTGGTATGCATGATGTTGACTGCAACTAGAAGACCGAAAACAAACATAAATTTAGTATTCATGTCTTAGTATTTTAAATCTTTTGTTGAAGAATTATGTTTGAGCTACCTCCTATAGTAGGAGATCAGTTATATATAACGAACATTTTTTCTTTTCTTTAAATAAACATTAAATATCGTTTACTTGACCATTCTATTTGGTAGTAGTTGTATTGCTATTTTTGGTTTTACCATAAAAATTTGTGTTAATTTCATTTGACTCCCTTCATCTAGTTCATTCATGTATTTTGAGATGTTTATATAATAATGGTTTGTTGTGTGTATGTCACTATTACAAATTAATTATCATGTTACATCAGTGTCGTGTTAACTCCATCTCCCCCCCCCCCCCTCCCTCTCCCACACCCATCATTTCACATAGGAAATGATCACATCTTACTAGTTGTATTGTACAATTACACGAAGTAAAAAAGAAGGGGCAAACATGAAGCATTCTCGCATGGAAGCCCAAAAAGGATGGCGGAATAAGTTCACCACACAACACCGTAAGCCAAGTCAACTCACTATAGAACTAAGTGAGACCAGATCTCATAGTCTAAAGAGAGCTTCTTAGATCAAGATCTACATATATTATTATTTTCTACTTGTTTATTGGTTTAAAGATTTTGATTATAGTATATGATAAAATTGTAACATTTATGAAAAACATACATTAAGATGTGTATATAGAGCACTTACATATGTTTTATCAAGTGCCAACATGCAAAATTATTTTTCAAATCTCTATTTTCCTTCTATAAAAGAAGGAATGATTACAAGATGCTTAATGATTCTAGTGATGACTGATGACTGTTTTTTGCTTCATTTACGAGCAAAGTTGGTTGTTATAGTTATTATAGGATGAACGTATATGTAAGTTTAGATAAGAATTTCAAAATTTTAGTGGCAAAAATAGAAAAAGAAAAGCTAAAAGGTAGAAATTGATATTTATATGATTATACAGGGTGCATTTTGCACTTTGCCACTTCACTACAAGAGTATTTAAGTATTTGGCAACAAATAATTAAATGTACAACAATATAATATATATAGAGCAATTAATAGGCCAAATATAATATAAACCTATCAAATATAATATAATAATAATATAATATAGATCAATTAATAGGCCAAATATAATATATAGCTATCAAATATAATATAACAACAATATAATATAGAGCATTTACTAGTCCAAATATAATATAGAGCTATTTGTAGGTTATAAAAGATTTTTAGTCTAGTTGTATAGAATGATTCTTATAATTAAGAGGTAATGGTTTTAAGACTAGTTAGAAACATAAGTGATGTTAATTTATGAGTAAATTATTTTGTTGTTCTAAAAAAATAGCTTTAATTTTTTTTTATATATAAAAGTTTATTTATGCTACAATAGCATTCGACTTCGCTAATTAGTAATCAAGATTAAA